AATATTAAGCTGCAGAGCAGCCCATACAGGATCAACTGTGTTCAGTGCACTGAATGTTTTTGAAGGCTCTGCTAAGTGCTCTGGAGGATTTCTGGATGCTCAGAGACATGGGCTGACCCCACCATCTAGGTCTTAGAACGTCACTGAAATATTATTTACTATGAAATATGACATTGTGTGATTTCTCTTTGTTTTGCTCTATTAATTTGTCTTGTGCTAAAGTGTATCATTCCAGTTAAAAGTCAGAATTTGTCATCAGCTTGGACGTGGCTGATAAGAAAAAATCTGACTCTAGGAAGTTTTTTTTATTTATTTTAGTTTTTCAGGTATATATATAATTTTTCTGTGCCCCACTAGCAGAAGTACTGTGATGTTTAAGGTTTAATAAACCCTCAAAGGCCCAAACTGCTGGCTTCTTGCAGTGCAACATGGAAATCATTAGAAAACATGTACATCTATAACGCAAATTTGAAGTTGAATCTGTTTGGTGGTACCTGTAGAAGAGGAAGTTTTATCTATCTTTCTGTAGGCACCGATATATCATTTCTTCATGTGTAGCTGTTAGGAGAGCATGCATACAGATGAGTTCTTAGATGTCTGATAGCAATTTACTCACCCAAAGATCCCATTTGCATGTGACAAAGTAGATGCATATAGAGTCCAGGTTTCGTTTTATGCTTACATTGAGCCTTTAAGTGGCTGCTGCTGAGCACATCCTTGGAATAACGAGCAGCACTTGCAACTTCTTCCCCTAAAAAATTATATCACTTCTTTTAGATTAACTCTGTAGAAAGTTACAGGGAGTATGATAATGTATTCTGCATTTGGATGAGTACCGAAAGGAATGGACAGCATAGGAGAATGCATATTGCAATGATGAAACAGATGCTTTGGCTAAAATCCTGGTCCACCAAATGAAGTGATGGTTGTATATACTACTAAAGAAGCTGAGATTTGACCCTCGGTGTTTACCCCTAAGATCTATCGAAACAATTTTTTCAGACCTGAGGCTGAGGACAGTTTCAGGATCGTTACTGAGTCCTTGCTTTCAATTCCATAGAATGGTTAAAATGATATGGCAAAGTTTGTACCTCACAATCTGTTTTGCCCCAGCTCTTGCAGTACCGGTATTTTTGGGCTGACTGAAAGATTTGTGGACTGAATGCATCACACCTTGAGCACAGGTTGTATTTTACCCTATTGTGATGAACTAATCCAGACCTTCCATGGGCTCTCATGTTTGTCTACAGTACAATAACACAGGACTTTTTACATCGAATCTGGTTGAATTTGGCCATGCAAGGTGTACTTTAGGATTTCGTTCAATATTTTTGATTAATGGGTAAAATAAAACCTCACAGAAATGGTAACTGTTGAGTTGAATAGCTCTGTCCTAGTTGCTTACTACCTGTAGGCCTAAGAAAGCAGCTACAGACCATCTAACTGAAGAGGATTACTTGTCAAGTCATAAAGAATGGGAAGAGAAAACTTATTACACCAAAACACTTCAGAGTATTACTGTTGCATGATATTGTATGTCATACTGAGCTATGTTCACTGAATTAAAAAATAGGTATTACATAAATCAGTGTTGCAACATACCTGGAAACAGTGCAAGATTAACTTTTTCTGATATGTCTCTAAACAAAAAAAAAAACCTGAAATAGTTAAACCATCTCAGATAAAAAAAAAATATTTAGATAATAGGTAATTCCTTTCAATCTTCATGGGAAAGAGAACAAGTTTCAGTTTAAATTATCAATTTCCCTGCCTTTGGTTATTACAAGGTATTTTTCTTAATAAGTATGGGAAGAAAAATTGAGTAACTATATTTCAGTTTATTGCAGAAGCCTAACAGAAACATCTTTGAAATAGCATAATCTATATCTGAAGCACAAGTGCAAGCAACAGTAAAACACATTTTCATTCCAAGTATTCTTGGATAGAAGACTTAATTGTTTGCTGATGAACAGAAATAAAGGGATTTTCATTTCAAGGGAAATCTTAGTTTGCCACCAGCCTTGTTTTGAATTTGGATTTTTGCACTGTTATTATGACACAGGATATTAGATCCAGCCAGTATCTGAACATCTTTCACAGCCAAATCTGTAATTATCATACTACATAATAGTATGAGTCTTAATATCACATCCTTTATGCCTTGATATGTGATTTGGACCAGATAAGAAGTTTTCTGGTGACATATTTTTTGCTTGGAAAAGGCAGATATGCTGACATATTTTCATGGGTAAAGTACTTGTTCAAGTGAATGCTCGAGAAAACACAAAGTTGTGCTGGGCTACTTGCCCCTCAGTCTGGGGACACCGGGATGCATTGATTGAGAGGGAAAGCTTACATGGAAAACAGCTGAAGAGCAAAGGGTTTGAGAGGAAAGTCAAGAGCCTCTTGGTTTCATGTAACATGGCCAGGAAGACTGGCAAGATGCAAGTCCCAGCTCCCAGATTATGACCAGCAGTAAGATCTGGATGTCTGCAGGCTCCCATTTCTGCTTCTCAGTCTGTTGGGACAGCACAATGAAAAACACAAAGTAAGATCAGAAAAGTTCTTTAGAACGTAAGTATCAGTCCCTCCCATTACAAAGAGTAGCTGGGACCATTGAGCTAAGACCCTGCTGTAGTCCTTAAAATGTGTGATGAATAAATTTAATTAGCCAAAACCAGGCTGCTATATGTGAACATCCTCTGTGTATCCAAGAGATTTTACATTTTGCAAATTGTCTGCTTCTGCCAGTATATGCTTCTGCCTCTCAGATAAGAAAATTGCCACATAAGGTAGTTCTGCTGTAAACTGAGTGTTTTACTTTTCATCAAAGAAAGTGAAAAAAAAGACACCTAGCAGATGGGAGTAGAAGAGCACAAGAAACCACTGTGATAATACGTCTAACAGTTTCCTGAACCAGACTACACATCCTGCTGGACTGGAGTTTGACTAAATTGATGGTTGTCTGAACCCATCTGAGTAGACATTCCCTACATCCTTACCTTTCTTTGCCCTTCAAATACCAATAAAACTAGGGAGGAAAGATATCCCTGCAATACAGGATAATGCAGTTGTAGTTAGTGGAAATGCTAGAACCTCTGTGATATGAAAAATGTGTACTTCAAATAAGTGCATTAGTGCATTGCACGGATACTTTTCCCTCCAAGTCATAATGTGGAAACCATTTAAACAGAAAATACTCTGAGCCTTTAAAACAGTTTGAATTCTGTATTAGTTCTTATTATTTATCCCTTTGATAAATGATACATTCTCATCTTTACTCAAAGACTTTAAACAGCAACTTCTCTCCAGCATGTACGGTGGTCATGACCATTGCTGAGTGACAATAGAAAATGGTATTGCAACATCATAATTTTGTAGGGTTTTTTGCAGTTTCCCCACGTATTTTTTGACCTCACTGTGTGTTAACTCTGTTGCTGGGTTAACACTATCCTACTGTAGAAATAAAACCCTGCCATGTAATCTCCCCTTGTCTCATGCTTGTTCCAATTAGTGTTATTTTAAGGCATTGTCAAAGGCATGAGATGTTTATCTGCCAATAAAGAACATGTTTTCACAAATACTCCAAAGAAAAACAATGGAAAGTGTGAACCATAGAAGGTAATACTTTTTTTTTTTTTTTTTTTTTTGCTGCTGTTGTGATTGTTATTTTTAGTTGTTTTGGCTTTTTTTCTGTGGATATAAAAATCCAATAGACATCACACAAAAGATGTGCAGGAAGTTTGAAAGTAATAACAATACAACCAAGTTTGTTTTGTCATCTGCAAAGGTTAATGGGTATAGTACACATGGATGCTCAGAAGGGAGAGGGGACTGTTCAAGATTAGCACTGTTTCCTTAATTCAATTTATACTCTTTGCCCCCACCTACAGTTGGCAGACTTTTCTAAATAATGCTACCAGACTACAAAAAGGAATAAAATGAAGAGAGGAGTGGTTCAATAAATAACTGAAGTCAGCATTGACTGAATATAACATTACTTATGACCCACAGTGTTTAGAGTATTTAATCGGGTCTCTTTTAAAAGCAATTGATATTCTTGGTAGTCTGTGCATAATGTTGTCAAGAGAGTTAGAAGGATGTTAACATTTCATTACTCTTGTCATTGATTTTTCTCTTCTTTCTTCACAACAAAAGTCAAAATGTGACCTCTTATTCCACTGAATTAGTTCCAGAGCACTTGGCATTATTGACCTCCTAATGAAAATTAATGACAACTCTTTTGATTCAGGCTTTCAAGTAGGCACACCAAGCACATTTAAAAAACAGGCATTGGTTATTTCTCATATTGAAATGAAGTAACACACTGTTAAGTAACAAAATGTATATTAATGCAACATTAAATTTGCAAATGTGAGTGTGCAGAATTCAAGAGACTTAAACTGCATTATCAGGAGCTGATGCTGCAAAGATTTAAGCTTGGCAATAATTTCAGAACTGGAGAGCCAAAGAGTTTTGCAAGGAAAGCTACACACAAACTTAAGAACATTCAGCCTCAGGCCCCAAATTTATAGTAAAAATCTGGCAAGATTGAAATGTTTTTTGCTATGCAACAGAGACAATTGCACATTACGTTAGGTATCTCCATGATTTTCTTTCCCCTCTTAAAGCTAGAGAAGAATGCAAATTCTTTTCAGTGACTTTTGTGCTCATGAGCTGTCACTCTGCAGCTGAGTGGATTTTCTTCATCCAGATTCTCACACAAATGTTTATGCACAAACTGACTTCTGTGTATGGGTATGGACCCCTCCTTCCTTGCATCTGTGTAAGTAAGGATTAACTCTACTAGGTGAAATAAGAAAGCTGAATGGATTCATATCTGGAGATGGGGTGAAAGCTTTTGTTTGTCTAAACAAGTGTTTATCTAAACAATTTCCTATTCTGGGAAATTATTCTGTCCCAGAAATAATACCTGGGGAAAAATGTGGGAAAGCTGAAAAAATAATTAATAAACTAACTTAATTTGTCTCTTTCCTTAGACAACAAAGACTATGATGCATATCTATCTTATACCAAAGTGGATCCTGACCAGTGGAATCAAGAAACTGGAGAAGAAGAAAGATTTGCTCTTGAGATCCTACCAGATATGCTTGAAAAGCATTATGGATACAAGTTGTTCATCCCAGACAGAGATTTGATTCCCACAGGAAGTAAGTCACATCCTTCTTCTTATGTGTTTTCTAAACAGACAATGCAGTGATTGAAGTGACTGGTTTAGTCTCTTTTCTATACCTACTCCTTCAGAATGTCATCTTTTCTCCCTTGTCTTAGAGAATGGCAAAGATAAGCCAACAAACATGCTCAATGTATATTTCCAAGATAAGAGGACTATTATTTAGTAATTGCAATATTCTGATTGAAGGTGAGATAGTGCAGACAGGGCATGCATAAATAAAGGTAATGAAAGACTAACTTTTTCACAGTTTTTTGAGAGCTTGCATATCTAGGACTGAATATAGAGTTTTTAGTTTTCAGTTCCTTAGAGATTGTTTGGAAAGATATCCGTGATTCTAAGTATTACAGAAATAGAGACACAAAGGAAAAAGTTCTGTTTGGACTAAGGCAACGGCTGAGTAATAAAATTTACATCAGAGAAAAATAGTGAATTCTGTCAGTGGACACTGCAGATAAATGTGCAGTGGATGTACTTGATCATTCTCAGACACTACAAATTAGAAATGATTGGTACAAGTAGACCTTTTTCATGTTTCTCTGACCTATTCCAGCAGAAATATGGTGATGTTTTTTAGGTTGTTGTAGTGGTCTTCATAAGCTCACTGTAACCATATAGGCAGCTACTAAGTTCAATATCTTTTAGTAAAAATACTAAAGGATGCTTGGTACAGGCAAAGATCAAACAGTCTCATGGATATTTTTTAAATCTACAGCAAACTAGACACTAATTTGCAGGACACAACACTGTTCTTGTGAATGTGCATGGTGGGGTCATGGAAGGAAAAGCGGAATCTAAGCCTACCATATCCCACAGAGGATCATTTGAGTTTGAGACTGAGCTCCTGAAGCACATAGATGCTGATCTGTTGTCTAATCTTGGGTGACTTTGCCTTTTTCAAGTAAAACATCGTGATGGACACAACTGTTTCAATACAGATAATGACACAAAACTACAACTCATGAACAAACATAACACATAGCTCATGTAGTAATAGATGTTTCTCAGGATCAAAGAATGGTTGAGGTTGGAAGGGGCCTCTGGAGGTCACCTTGTCCAACTCCCCTGCTCAAGCAGGGCCTCATGGAGCAGGTTGCCCAGGACCATGTTCTTCCAAGCCAGCCTGGCACATTTGCAAGTGATGTTTTTTTCAGTGAGATCTTCTGGGAACAGGGATTTGCCTCTGTTGTTTCTCACCAGTCTTTGAGAGCAGATTGTTTTCTTAGATTGGTTTTTGAGCAATTGTTTTGTTTTGTAGCCTACATTGAAGATGTGGCAAGATGTGTAGACCAAAGCAAGCGACTGATCATCGTCATGACTCCAAGTTATGTGGTAAGAAGAGGTTGGAGCATCTTTGAACTGGAAACAAGGCTTCGAAATATGTTAGTCACGGGAGAAATCAAAGTGATACTGATTGAATGCAGTGAACTACGAGGAGTTATGAACTACCAGGAGGTCGAGGCCCTAAAACATACCATCAAGCTCCTCACTGTCATTAAATGGCACGGACCAAAATGCAACAAGTTGAATTCCAAGTTCTGGAAACGTTTACAGTATGAAATGCCTTTTAAGAGAATTGAACCCATCACAAACGAGCAGGTTTTAGATGTCAGTGAGCAGGGGCCCTTCGGGGAACTGCAGACAGTCTCCGCAATTTCCATGGCTGCTGCCACCTCTACTGCTCTTGCCACTGCCCATCCAGACCTGCGCTCCACCTTTCATAACACATATCACTCACAGATGCGCCAGAAACACTATTATCGAAGCTATGAATACGATGTACCTCCAACCGGCACCCTGCCGCTTACCTCAATAGGTAACCAGCACACCTACTGCAACATCCCTATGACACTTATAAACGGGCAGCGACCACAGACAAAAACTAACAGGGAGCAGAACCCAGAAGAGGCTCACACAAACAGTGCCATACTGCCCCTCCTGCCACGGGAGACCAGTATATCCAGTGTCATCTGGTGACCGAGATGCAAGGGGCTGTCAACCCCCTTGAGTAGGAGCAGAGTCTGCAGTCTGGTGCCTGGAACTACATCCTCGACTGCTGCTGTTAAACATGCATTACAATCGATAACATACGAGGAAAAACAGGGTCTTGTACATATGTTTTTGCAATTTCTTTGTAGCATCAGTCTTCCTGTTTTACCCATGTCTCTTCCCATTCACATTTTCGACTTTGTTTTATATGTCATTGGAATTTGTATATTTACATTTTTTTAAATGAAGAGACTGCTGTATAGATAGGAAACTTTTTTGCTTCATTAGTATAGTTTTAGGGTTTTTGTTTGTTTGTTTTTAACCTCTCTCGGGAATGCTTGGACAAAGCTATGTTGATATCAGAAGCACCATCCATTTTGTTGGCCTGCCTAGCCTGATTCCTGAAGGCCATGCCTGCTGCAGCTCACCTCTTTTGGAGAGTATTTGTTTTTAGAAGGACCCCATCCCTCACTGAGCGCTCCAGTTTCATTTCTACTCCCTTAATGTGCACTGCTCCTTCCCTACCCTTAAAAAGACCCCAGTTTGGGGTAACACTGCAGTCTGACCACCTAACATGTAACTTGGTAGATACCTGTCAAACCACAGAATATACCCAGTTTGTATCGGTTGCTTCACAGTAGTCACTACAGAGTGTATAGAAACTAGAGCCGGTTTGGTTTTTTGTTTTCTTGGGTTTGTTTTTTTTTTTTAATTATTATTTCGAGAATGAGTTGATTGTATTCCTTTTATAAATATAAAAGCAAACCCTATTTTTAACACATCCTGGAAAAGTATCAATGTGGTTGTGGATTTTATTTTTCAAGCATTTAATTTTTTCTTTTCCCCCTTAAAAAAATCCTGCAAATGATGTCATTTGCAAATGTCAGGCGAGTAAGACGAGTGAGGCAATAGGCACTGAAGTGCAGAATCCTGCTAATATGTACAGTGATGACTTCCAAACCAAAGGGGAATAAAAAGACAGTATTGTAGATGGTTTGTCACTTTGTATTATAGAAAGTGTTATTTTCAAAAAAGAGTAAGAGCAAAACATTATTTTGCTGTGGATTACAGAGTCCCCTTGTATTTTAATGTTCCAAAAATTGTATTTGCTTTAAAATGCTATATTAAGGGTTAAGAAATCTTCTTTCATTTGGTTTTAGCTTGTAATGATAAATAAAACTTTATTAATTTCAACATGATTTAATAAGAACTCAGGCAGAAAAAATGACATGAATACCAGAAATATAACTGTTTTCAGAATAAAATTTATTTATACAAAATTAATATTTAAATCAGACCTGAAAGTATTAAAAACAATTTATTCACTTTAATGAATAAATAAATTAGTTTTATTTTTATGTATGACTCTATCTTTGAGGAATTGCGAATAATGCATGTACCATGGCTGACAGGGAAGAAAAAAAAAACACCACTGTGTTTATATCTAGACATCTTTAAGACCAATTAAATAAGCACCTTGCTCATATTTTTGTTTTAAATAATGGAAAAGTCCTTTCTGATTTTAGAAAGAGAGAGGAGTGGTGCAGCTCTCCAACATATTCAGGCCAAGCTCTCTGCTAGTCCCTGCTAGCAGAAGTGGAAGTAGAGTTACTGGCTGCAGCACACTGTCATGTAGTCATGGGTCTGATTTACCCTGGCAGAAATGTAACTGGTGTCCCGACAAACAGGCCTCATGGTCTATTTATGTAATTAATTACTTTAGGTATTTTTATGGCAGCTGAATGATATTGGCCAATATAATGAATGTGTGGGGTTTGTTTATCCTGACTGCCAAAATGAGAAAAGTATAGCTTATAATATTTTGGTCTTGTTAATGAGAAGTGAGCAGGGAAACTGCAGTTTGGGGGATGTTTGTGGGAGTAATCCAGAACTGACAGTGTGGGAGGAAATGACTATGCTCCTGTTGTGAAAGTCAAGAAATCTCTGCATAAGAAGCTAATAGACCTTTGAGATGTGCACTGATTTTTATTTGCTAGAAATCTTTATTTCTCTGAGGTTTTGCTCAAGCCTTTTTCTACAATCTGTTCTTTATTACGGTCTCTCTCTCTGGACATGTGCCAAACATCCACAAAATGGAAATGAAGCTGCCAAGTCAGATAAAATTTTAAGAGATTTTTGCACATTTGGTTATTTTCATAGGGTAAGAAAGCTATTATTTATTTGCTCTTACAGACACCTGTCAGGCACTGATGGCATTTTCCTTCATTCATCTGGATGCCAAATACCCCAGTATCCTCTGAAAGCAATGCATTATTGTTTTCCCCTTTCCCTCACCTTTGTATGTCCTGGAGTAAAGACTGGGTTGTGGAATAAATGTAAGATTTAATTATCTGACCACAGTTATGTTTAGACAATTGGTAGGTGTTTTCTTAGCCACACGGGAAGTACTTTTATGTTCTTCTAATTTTAGTGTAGATTTAAGCACTTTGAAAAGCATGATTCAGGGATTGACAGATACTATTTGATATTCACACTACTTAAAGTTTTTCTTATAATGCTTTGTCATAATATCAAATATAAGAAAAACAAACAAACAAAAAAAGAAACAAACCACAAAATAAAACCTGAAATAAAAGGAGAAGCTGACTATGGCTTTAGAAAAATTCCTCCTTAGTATTCCTCTTCTGTGAACAGCTCGGTGTGGGGAACAGGGAAGGAAACTGTTGTGTGCTCACGTGCTCTTTCTTGGACAAAAGTTGTGTTGGAACTCAAAATAAAATGGAAAAGAAAAAAAACACACAAAACTAACAAACCCTGTCATTGCCCTAGTGCTTAGGCTCCATCATTTTTGGTGAAGGTGTTCCAGTTTTTGACAATGCAGCGTGAACTGTGCATGCAATAGCCACATATAAGGTTTAGCCATAAACAAATAGCACTTTATTTTAAAAACTACACAGTGTGATGGTCAGAAAAACTTACTCTGCCTGGTCAGTAACTCTGGGTCTGTATGTGGATTCTATGCACGTGAATTATCCAAGTGTGGTGCTCTGTCTTTATAAGGCTCTCTCTAATCAGGGTAGTCTGTGTTATAAAACTAAAGGACTCTGTTGCACAACTTCAGTATATAGGCTCTCCAGACAGCATTTATAGCTGGACATAAATGGGAGACTTTACAGTATGCAGCTAATTATTTTGAAGGCAAAGTGCATTGCTGGGTCTGATTCTGTTCTCACTTGCAGCAGTATGATTTGAGAGTAAATCTAATAAAATTGAATGAGTGTAAGATTGATTTGTGTGGGAGAAGAAAAGTGGAAAAGCAAAGAGAAAAGGAATTCATATTTGCAGTCTGTGACAAGCTGAAATCTTGTCTGCAAGGAAAGCAGCAGCAAATGTCTTCTGAATTTTAGTAGGGACCCAGTTCTCACCTGGCAGCCAACATCAAACACTTTCAACATGATCTGGTGCAGAGCTAAATACTGCTAGGCTTAGATGCAAACTAAGATTTTCCTATTACTGCGCAGCGGTGAAAACCATGTGTATGTTACATAATGGGTGATAATCAGCTTCAAAATAATTAGAAAGCTTGTTATACCCGCCTGATAAAAATTCACAAAGTTTTATTTAGATATTGAGCATTAATGACACATTTAAATTATAGATAAAGGAGTGGGATTTGGGGAAAACTGGCCCGGTAAACAGGATTTCTTCATTTTTTAATTTAAAAAAAAATAAGAGAGGAAAAAAAAAGAAGAAAATGTCAAGCTAACAAACCTAAGGAAAGTTTAATTAAAATCCAAAGAAGAAGAAAAATCACAGCAGTAAAGTTCAAAAATAATAATAAAAAAAAAAAAAAAAAAAAAAAAAAAAAAAAAAAAAAAAAAAAAAAAAAAAAAAAAAAAGCCAATGGAGAATAAAGAGCAAAATACCCACCTGCTTTTTGACTGTATTGTGGTTTCTTTTGTCATGCAAAGTCTGTACTCTGGCTGACCTACATCAAGCAACTGGCTTTTTTGGAGGCCATCCAGATAGACCAGCAACACAAATATGTCCCTGTACATCTAGTACACTTCCGAATTATTTTTTTATTTGTCGATAGTTTAGCACAGAGAGATTTTTGTTTGTCTTCTACTGTGATGAAGAGGATGGCAGAAATCTGTCAGTGCTAAAAAAATCTCCATGACAGACTTAGGTTATTATCTAGAGTAACTATATTCACACCCACCCCTTGCCTGATTTGCTGTTATTAGAACATTTTTTTTAACCCAGTTCTCAGTTGAGAAATAGATTAATGTGGCTGGCAAGAGAAAAAATGTAAGCAATCTCATAACAACGACTCTCCTTGTATAGTGAATGCTGCAAGATCCCTTGCATTTTTTTTTTCATATAAACACATCTCCTGACCTCCTAAATAGCCCACTTAGTGGAGGCTAAAGAACACCACTGTGTTCTCCATTTTAATTTCAGATTCACTGAATTTAGTATGGACACTGAGCTGTTGTTTTAGGTGTAATTTTGCTGGGCTATTTTCCATTGGCTCTGGCTATATCCTCCAAGATGATGTGTTGGCAACATTACACTTCTCCACATTTCCTTGACTTGATGTTTCAAAACTCAGAGTTCTTACCCTGGGGAATGAAATTGATAGAAATGTTTCAGCTATTAAGAGTTTTCCTATGCCTATTGTTTGTTTAAGTTCTCCTTAAAACAGAGTTAAACCTTTGCTCTGGACTAATAAGCTCTTCAGGTAGAAGACCTAGGGTCCACAGGGTCATGAAGCAGTCAAAGAAGAAATTACAAAGGCAGGTCTGACACCTTCTTTGGAAAACATAGAAATTCTGGAGCTGTTCAAATTACTAAAAAATTAGTACGTTTTGATTGAGGGCTCTTGAAGGGAAGTAATTCAGCTTGTAACTACAAACAGCCTCATTCCAAAAGCTTATTAGCATTCTACAATAAATATCCAATACCTTGGATGACATAATTTCAGAAACATTTAATAGTCAATTATAATATTTTATTTGGGGGGATTAAGAGCAACATGATTCTCTATGATCTAAATGTTGAAATAGATTATCTAGTACTGAGCTTACAGGAATGACAAACATTTCTTTGCTGGGTCAGTAGCATTAGGAAAACAATTTGAAGTAAAATTTGAGAGCTAAGAGTATAGGCTTTTATTGATATTTTTATAAAGATACCTCTCATAACCATCAAGATATGACAAAAGGAACACACAAATTACTCAAAAAATAAAATTGATGAGCTTTTTAACCTTCTCTTTTTCTCTTTATCAAATATTAGCTCTTCTTAAAAATAAAAAATCATTCAGGAAAAACTAATTCTTACTAAGCCCATACTCTCAAACACACTTTGTGACAGATAAAGTGCAAGCCAGAGGGAGGGGCTGCACTGCATTGCTGTGACTGAGAAGCTCCACACTGAGGAGAACATGTGTGCCTGTGCATGGAGGAGGAGAGCAAAGGCCCCTTTGGCTTCCTCTTTAGTTACTGCTGTGTCAGGTGGGTGCAGAAGGAGACACAGACTCAAATATCACCACTGCCCTATGTGCTATAGGCAACATGCAGGGAAGGTGGGCAGTAAGTCTTGATATGAACGACAATAAACTTGAGAAGCAAGTTAAGGGACAGATACTCTTCCAGCAAAGCAGCTGGAAGAGCTGAAAAAGCTCTGAAACAGTATTTTCCATTTGTTCCATGTGCAAAGCAAAAGACAGCACTGAGCAGAGAAAGAGGTCAGCTTACTGGGTTAGTGTGCAGTTCACTAATAGGAAATTCCCACCTCAATCAGCTAAAACCACACCTGAGAACCCTCATGGAAATTTCCATCCTATCCTATCCTATCCTATCCTATCCTATCCTATCCTATCCTATCCTATCCTATAATTACCTGGCAGAGTGTATTAGAAGTAAAAGCACTCAAAGTATGCTGTGAGCCCTCAGGACGGGGTACACATGAAAACTCCTTGCAGAGATGTTTAGGGTGAATAGATGTCTTCTCTTCTAAGAAGAGACTTACAAGAGCAAAGCTCTGATTTGTAAAAAGTTAGTGGTTTGGTTTTTTTTCCTCAGCACACCATTTTTTAAACCTACTTAGAGTGCTCATATGGAGCAACACCCTGATATTATTCTGACCTCTGAGGTAAAAAGAAAGGCTTGAAAATGTCAGTTATGGGCTTAAAATATGCCATTAAGCTGCAGAGTCTGCACACACTTGAAACCCAGAAATAAATAAAGGTAAATTAGCAATGCAATTACTAAACCTATTTAAACCTAGTTTTAGAAATTTCTTTTTTTCATAGAAGG